TAACACAGTATTATCATTTAATTTGACCTAAGATTCAGTCACCTCCAATCTGAACTACGACTTTTCCATTGCATGCTGCTGGTCTTTTTACAGGCTAGAATATGTCGAACTCCGAGTAGTTCGTAACTACAGGCATAAGCGCATTGTAAACCTGCGTCACGTATTTAGCTGTAGACGTGAAGAGTTTAGATACTGGTTTGTTTTTGTTTTTGTGTTTTTTTTCTATTAATTTCACTTACATGCACATTCGAAAAAAACGTGCGCTAACGAACACCCACTAAACCTCGCTTCTCGACTACCAAAGTAATTTTACAAATCGTAAAAACTCTAACAAATGTTGCACAATTTAACTCGTGTGGAATGATGAACTTGTCCCTCTGCTGTTCGTAATTCTAGTCTGTCCGTGCCGAAAGTCGTCTTGACTCTATAAAAGTTCGATTGAGGGAGTAATAAGCAAACAGGCAGAATTGATAACGTGTAAATATAATATTGATAACGTGTAAATATAATGTACACGCTCTTTGAGGGATAGATAAGTTTTTTCAGTTAGTTAATTCAGTGACACCAGATTATTGCTCGTCCCATCTGGAGACAAAATTATCATTAATCACTTACTGTGAGTTAAAAATAGTGTTTTCTTGATCCAGATAACACAAATGACAGAGTTGATCAAAGAAGAATTTATAAGCGGCCTCGACTCATTGGAATGGATGTCTTCCTTGACCAAAACGAACGCAAGAATAAAGGTGGGATTGTCTACAGTTAAAGCGTTTCCCGATTAGTCTCGATTTTTCCTGCTTAGCGTCAGCAGAAGCTCTTCAGCGTTACCAGTTATAAAAGGACTATTGTGAAGGCAATGCATAATGCGGATAGTTGAGCCGGAAAAATAGACCCATTTCATAATTCGGTAGACAGAAGCAAGACGAGTGAATTGTTCAGCTTTTTGAAGGTTAATCGAGGTTGCCCGCTTATTGATGCTTATAAGGAAACATTTACAACGTGTTGTCTCCTTTTCAGGCCAACGCAATCGCTCTTCTATA